TATATATATCAAAAGCCTTCGAGGTCAAGGGTCTGGAATTTCCAGAGGAAGTGAAAATTAGCACCAGCAGGGACCTCAGACCAGCTGGCTTGAGTGCTTCTCCCACCCCCAGCTTTGCCCTGCAGCCTAGAACAAGTTTACTTCCCCTGAGGCAAAGGCATGAGCCCCCCCACCCCTAGCAGTGATCACAATCACAGCACTGGGCCACATGTCAGTGCCACTGCCACACTGTGCCCCTGAGGTTTGAGAGGTGTTAGAAAGAGAGGCCTGGCTTGGATTCTCTCTCTCTTTCTTTCAAAAGAGCAGTTGCCCTAGAGCCCAATCTAATGATACCCAAGAATAGATGCAGGGACAGAAAAAAGAAAAGACATTTCCAGTACACCTGGAGGCCAGTGTTCCATGTTCTCTAACAGTGCTAAGAAGGGATGGGCCCACGGGTGATAATTTTGAACAAGAGCCCAGGCAGCAGCTGGGTTGTGCCTCCAAACCAATCTGGAGGAAGAAAATAGTGCAAAGAAAGATGCTATTCAGGGCCATAAAAGGCCTCCCTCCCCTGCTCAGTCTCCCTCTTCTCTCTGAAATTCTCCTTCCACCCACAGGCACCAGCTTTTTCTGTCCCGTGACAGATGTGGGGGTGGGAGAATAGAAGCGCTGGCAGCCCTGCTGTCTGAGCAGGTGGCTGCAAACTGAGGGTCACGGAGCACAGGAGATCCACACAACCAACCACTGGCTCTTGAGAACCTTGCATTCGCTATCACCCAGGGGACCGAGTATTTTTCTCTCCCCTAAACCATACATTTGAACTCAGAGCCTTTCGTTTAGGAGGACTTATGAAAGGTTGATAGGAAGAGCATTGACAAGATGAGAGGCTACCATCTTTCCCAGGAAAAGGTAACTTTGGGCTCAGCGTCTGTAGCTCAGCCGCTAGGGCACCAGCCACATACACCGGAGCTGGTGGGTTCGAATCCAGCCCAGGCCTGCCAAACAACAATGACAACTACAACCAAAAAATAGCCAGGGGTTGTGGAGATGCCTATAGTCCCAGCTACTTGGGAGGCAGAGGCAGGAGAATCGCTTGAGCCCAAGAGATCGCTGTGAGCTGTGAGGCCACTCTACCCAAGGCATAGTAAGACTCTGTCGCAAAAAAAAGAAAGTGATTAGGGGTACAGGTGAATCTTTCTAAGAGTAGAATGTGAACGTTTTAAAGCAATAACTGAGAAAATGACATGAAGGCTGTGTTGACCAGTTTGATGAAAGTATTTCAGATTGCATGTGAAAACCCCACACTGTACCCCAGAAGTGCATTAATGTACATAGTTACCATTCAATAAAATAAAATAAAATAAAATAAAAAAATAAAAAAAGAAAGTGACTTCTAGGCCCAAACCTCATAGAGTCAATTCACAATCATCTGACTTAAACAGTTGGTTAGGATGAACAAGGAGAAGCAGTTTTCAGCCTGCATATGGCCACCTCCCTAGAAGAGTTTCTCCTCTGGGAATAAAATAGAAACTAAGGTTATATCAATGTTCAAGGTTCAGGGAGAGTATTTTGGGTCAAAATCTATCCTGAACCCAAAAGTTCTGCCCAGGTCAATCTATGGCTTTATTTGCTTTATTTGTCTTCCTAAGGACTTGGACCTGTGTTCATTTGGCTCTTTCTCTCATGCCTTAGAAATCAATGAGATATAATAACTCAAAATTAAAATCAATTGATTTTGAATGGGAATACCATGATCATTCAATAAATGATGCTTGGACAACTGGATATCCATGTGCATACGACCTCATACTCTGTAAAAATTTCTTCAAAATGGATCTAAGGCCTAAATATAAGAGCTAAAACTATAAAACTCTCAGAAGAAAACGTAGGAGTAAATCTTTTTTTTTGGAGACAGAGCCTCAAGCTGTCACCCTAGGTAGAGTGCAGTGGCATCACAGCTCACAGTAACCTCCAATTCCTGGGCCCAAGTGATTCTCCTGCCTTTGCCTCCCAAGTAGCTGGGACGACAGGCTCCCGCCACAACGCCCAGCTATTTTTTTGGTTGTAGCTGTCATTGTTGTTTGGTGGGTCCGGGCTGGATTTGAACCCTCCAGCTCAGGTGTATGTGGCGGCATGAGTAAATCTTTAAGACCTTGGATTTGGCTATGAATTCTTAGATATGACAACAAAAGCACAAGTAAATTACAAAAGAAAAAAGAGAGATAAAATTGACTTCAAAATTTAAAACTTGGCTCGGCACCTGTGGGTCAAGTGGCTAAGGCGCTAGCCACATACACCTAAGGTGGCGGGTTCAAATCCAGCCTAGGCCTGCCAAATAACAATGACGGCTGCAACCAAAAAAAAAAAAAAAAAAAATAGCCGGGCGTTGTGGCAGGTGCCTGTTGTCCCAGCTACTTGAGAGGCTGAGGCAGGAGACTTGCTTGAGCCCAGGAGTTGGAGGTTGCTGTGAGCTGTGCTGGCATAGCACTCTACCCAGGGGGATAGCTTGAGGCTCTGTCTCAAACAAACAAACAAAAATAAACAAAATGTGCTCTAACCATACCATGAAATTTTATTCAGCCATAAAAACCATGAACTACAGATAGATATTACAACATGGATGAATCTCTTTTGTGTGTGGTTTTATAACTTGATTTGATGTATCTGCTAATCTATAGTTAGTTCTCATCCACATTTACTGTAGATTTTTGAAAGTGATAACAGGTACACAGGTAACCAAAGTATACTTTTTGAATGATACTTTTTGAATCTTCATTTCTTTTTTTTTTGAGACAGGGTCTCACTCGGTTACCCTGGGTAGAGTAGTATTATAGGTGTAAGCCAAAAATGTCCTTATTTTTCCCAGAAAAGGAGGGGTTTCCCTTTGGTGCCCTCTATGTTGAGTTCACTTTTGTTGTTTTGGCGGGCCTGGGCTGGATTCGAACCTGCCACCTTGGGTATGGGTTGTAATGAGGAATCTTTGTCCTC